TTTCAGAATTCGTCGTAGTCAAGTATCGTTTCTTTAGATTATGAGAACCAAGACAACTTTTTTTTCCAACATTTGATCATAGCCGATTACATCTAAAAACCTTGCCGAACAAAAAATATATTACATAAACTCTTAGATATTAGCTAATTATAATTCGATTCTTAACTAATGAGATGTACAGAATGAGTAGTTCTGTTTTCAATCAATAGTCAAATTAATACGGTAAAAAAAAATATGATGTACGTTTTAGAATAATTGCAGATTTTTTTCCTTGTTACTTTGTTTTTTACCGCTGTTTGCTGTTTTTAGAAACATATTCACATATATTATCAAATAATAAGTAAAAAGCTTTTCAACAAAGAGTTCCATAGGAGCTAAAATGTGACACTCACATTCGTCATATAAGCTAAGTAATATTTTAGCACAGATATATATATATATATTGTCTAATAAAAAATTCTAAATTTGGTGATTGAAACACGAAATAAATAGTATTAAATGATAAGTGTTTCTTTTTTTGATTCCATAGTGATCAATGTAGTAATCGTTTTTACGACGGACCTATTTATTCGTAACTACGGATAACTCTCTGTAAGAAAGAGAGGGAGAGAGAAGATAGACGAAAAATCTCCATAAAAAATTGTACTGACATTTTAATATATGAGTTCTACAAAAATCATGTCCATTTGATAAATTCTTTGAATCTATCAGCCTTGATTCGTCGATATGAGATTACGAGAAAAAGAGTTCCAGCAAGTTTAAAGCACTTTTTCTTAAATTTGTTTCTCACAAATTCTGCATCTTCAAAATTTGTGGTCGAATTAAAATGAAGAATATTACATGTATATTTTCACCCAATCGACTCAAATTCAGCTGAGTAGTCATGGTTGTCAACATGTATCATGAATTTGCTTAAACCCGGAAAGATCTCCTTTATATCTTATCACATATATTTAAATTATTTCTATGAATTTTTTATAAAATATTATCGTCATTATATTATTATTTTGATTGAATACAAACTGAAGTGAGAAACTTTGTGCATTAGAATGTTATTTGTGTGATATTACTTAACATATTTTAATCTGAAATAAGTCTTACAAAAATACTTACAGAAGAGTGAAATCATTCATTATTATTCAATTATGAAGATGATGGTATCAAATCAATGATGCAGCCTCAGTCAGGCATGCACAGAACCCGAACTCTGGAGCAATGTTCTGGAAAAACGTTCAGCATTTGAGTTCAGGCTCAGAAACTATCCAACCAGTTCAGACAATGTCGAACGAAAAAGACGAATCGTAAAGCACCATTAAATGATATCACAGCAAATACGAATGATGGTCAGATCATATAACAGAAAAAATTAACAATATTGATCTTGATGATTGATAACCAAACGAAAATTCTCAACCGAATTCAAACATTAGTTCTTGAAAACTTGATTATTTGCAAAATTTCGACTTGCTCAAATGAGGTTCCTATCAACAGATCTGTCTATCATTGAGTATCAGAGACCGAAATGTGAAACTTTTCCGTTCTCTGCTCTACACCGACTTTGCCTCGCTGTATCTTAATACGATGTTTGTACTCTTTGACAAAGTCATCCTTTCGAATATATCATTGAAAAACAAATAGATACAAGAGTACAGTAAATTCGATTTTTCCGAAACCTGCTGGTCTACAGGAGTCTCTTGATAATCGGTAAATTAAAAGTTCGATAGCTTAGCTGAATTTCAATAGAAACCTATATCTTTTTAGTTTTATTAACTGGAATACTCCGGTTTCTATAGGCAAATAATCATCGAAATCGTAAGGGACACTTGAACAGGTTCCCTAGTAAGTATTCTCTCTTTCTCTTTGTCGGTACTAGGTTCATCTCTGATGTCGACAAAAATCTTGTTCAACTTCTCTTTAGATTTTAATGATTCATTAAATAATCAAAATCGTTCGTCAATACTCGATCGAGTTTTTACTCGTTCATCTGACCGTAAGACAATTACTTTTTTATTTCATTTATTAACTCGAACGTATTGATGTAAAGAAAAAGCGATTAATTCTTACAGATCGTATTCATATCTAATGCTGTCTCGATCTAATAGTTTTAATATATTTAATGGGTTAACTGTTCACCATGAAATAGAATGTTGATGATTTTATAATTTAAACTGTTATGTTTCAAAATCATCAGGAAACAATATGCTGTTTTTAGGTGCCATTTCTTTATCTTCTCGGCTAGTCTCAAGTACTAACTATGCGTATACTTTTGGATTGTTTTTTTTAATGCATCATGTTAGAGCTTTCTTCGTTCTATTGAATCCATAGAAAATTATTGTCGGTCCACATGTTGTTCAATATGGTTTTTGAGAGACTGGTAAAAATATTCCAAGATTAAGACATCATTTTGTTTTGCATACATTAATATTGAACCAGAAACGTCATATTCAACAAACAATTGGAGAAAGTAGTAATTCACACTAATTATATACTAAGAATAGGAAGAAGCGAAAAAAATAAAATGAGTCTCTACTGAAACATCCCAAGTCTATCCTTCATTATTACTGAACGATCACTTTAACAAAGCTAAAAGTTCGGATGCTTATTTGTTTTACAGTCTTTCATTTTCAATGATAAAATGGTATATCAACATTTTTCAAATGACAGTCTATAGTAAATATGCTCGATTTAGACATAGACTGACCTTTAAGAACATAGAGAAAAAAAATGTTTTATCTTATACCTCTTCCAAATGTCTTCACGGTATATTTACAATTTTATTCATCTAATTCTTAATAAACACTATTGCAAGGATACAAAATCTACAATTGAAGCAATTCGAGATGTAACCTAGTTACTTTTAAATTACAACCAAATCTTTTTCTTTATATCCCACCATCAAGTAAAATAACGAGTAGACGTGGTCTTTGTTATGATTGATTTATAGCATCAATATATATATACGTATATATCAATAACGCTACTTGTAAGACATAAACTATCAATGTGGTGTGCAAAAAGTGCATTGCAGTCACAAGGACAAAGCCGATTAGTTTATGAAAGATATAAATATCAACACTAAGAATTTAAAAAACTGTAACTACGTCACGTCTCTAATTCTTTCAGTTTGGAAGAGGATTGACGTAATGTTAACTTGTTCCTTTCTCAGGAATTAGCATCCTTATGACGATTTCTTGATAGAAGAACTATTAGCGCTGATGGAGTTACATTTAATTCTGTTTCTTTATATCACGAATCGCAAATTTTACATACATAGCACATATTTATCTATATATGGCAAACAGAGAGTCAGTGTCGAAAGATAAGACGGAACAAACCAAGGGAATAAGCTATATACAGAGGAAAAAGAACACATTGAGAGAAAAGAAAGAAGTCTTAGAAAGAAGAGAACACATATCAAGAGGACGGGAAGATACCTTGACAAAAAGGGAGCTTATGGTATGAGGAAGATAGGGTGAGTAATTGTGAGGCAGGACAAATGTGACGGTAGCGTCATAGCTCGCAATAAACTAGTTAAGAGTATACACATTTATGATTTAAGCAAGGACAACAGATATGGTGATAAGACATGCCAAATGAAGGTCGAACAACTTATATAAGCAGTCCAGATAAACGTCACTTAACCTTGGATAATTTCAGAGAATTAATCGATTAAGAACGTTACAATCATGTTCGAGCTTTCCCTCTCACAGCATCATATTTATATAAGTCAGTTCTGTTCTAGACGTTTTAAGCTACTTGTTCGTCGATGGTCTCTACATTCTGCTGGCATATCAATCTATTTTGATTCTAGGAGCTGTCGTACATGACTCATGCTATCTTTGCTTATAGTTTTATGTGCTTTGTGTTCGTGCTTTGATTTAATTGCTTTTCATTCTTCATAAAGGTGTAATCAATACCATGTCTTTTTAGGCTCTACTATGGGTAGAGGATTGAATAAACCTCAAACAAGCAATTCTTTCAATTTTAGATTTTTTATTCTTGAAATAGTACATATAATAATTAAATGAATGAAGAGATTTGGAAGTGGTGGTATAAGATGAAACATTTCGTTTTTCATTATGTTCTTAAAAGTTAGTCCATGGCTGAATCGAGCATATTTACTATAGACTGTCAAACGAAAAATTCTCATACATATTTTTCATCATTAAAAATGAAAGATTATGTAAACAAAATTATAAATATAAAATATTAACTTTCTTAGAGTCATAGTTCAATAATCATGAAGGCAAGATTGGGTATGCTTCAGTAGAACTTCATTTCATTTTTTTGTTTCTCGGTATTGTCAAGTATATAGTTATTTATTTTCTGCATATTAAGTAAATTGAAGGGAACAGTATTTCAAAAGATAGAAAAAGTTTCACTCTGCAAAACTGTATACTAGGACTCTCTTCAATAGCTTACTGAACATGACGTTTCGGAGTCAATATTGGTGTACACCGAAAATCAAGAAATGGAATTCTAAAGACATATATTCAGTCTTTTCATCATAATTATTGAACGATCACTCTGAGACAGTTAAAATTTTGGATTCAATTTTTTTTTTATAGAATCTTTCATTTCTAATGATGAAGATCTATGAAAATTTTTCATGTGACAGTGTATAGTGAATATGCTCGGTTCAGTGTAAGACTAACCTTTAATAAAACAAAAAAAAGAAAAGAAATGTATAATCTCATACCTTTTTCAAATCTCTTCACGGCATATTTACAATCTTATCTGATTTATAACATATACTATTTGAAGAATAAAAGATCTGAAATTGAAAGAATTAGAGACATGAGGTAATTATTCTTTTCTTTTTGACATTCTTAGTTTTAATATTTATATTGTTCACAAACTAATTGGCTTTGTCTTTATGACTACAATGCACTTTCTGTACACTATGTTGATAGTTTATGTCTTTCAAGTAGCGTTATTTATATATACTAATGCTACGAAACAATCATCTGAAAGGCAACGTCTACTCATTATTTCACTTGATGGTAGGATATAAAAGAAAAGGATTTGATTACAGTTTAAAAATAACGTATTTCCAAGGATTTCGTCATGATTATTTACGTGAACACTATTTACCTACATTGAATCGATTTCGTAATGAGGGTGTACGAGCAGCACATGGAATGCAACCTGTATTTACTACATTGACGTATCCTAATCATATTTCAATCGCAACAGGTTTATCAGTAGATATATGAACATGAGTTATTTAGTAGTATCTCTCGTGTGTGAAATTTAGGAATGTATCCAGAAGAACATGGTATTGTACATAATTCATTCTATGATCGATTATTAAAATTAACTATTCGATTGGGTATAATATATATTCCATTTGTTTGATCTGATATAAAATAACGTTGATTCACCTTTTACATATTAGATAATCGTGATGATGGACAATGGTCTGATCCAAAAGTAGAACCTATATGGATTACTGCAACAAAACAAGTATTTATTTAAGATTAAAATATATATCGACCAGTTTCGCATTACAATTTTTAGAAAGTAAAATCTGCAGTTCTTTTCTGGCCAGCATGTCATAATGAGTTTTATGGCGTGCGTCCACTTATCTATAGTTGGTTGTACACTGATAATGTATCATTTCGTGAAAAAATTGACAATGCTATAGGTTACTTTCGTGAATTACCAGTTCAATTCGTTATGTTATACCATTTGTATAGTTCATAAATAAATTTTATTCTGTTGAAAATAATTATTTTCTCTTTAAGTGAACCAGATAAACAAGGACATACATATGGTCCAGATTCGCCAGAAGTACACAATACGGTAAGTAGAAACTTACTGAAAATAGATATATTTAGATTTTTTCTTCTCTAATTAGTTACTTCGTCTTGATTTTGATATAGAATATTTATTGGATAAAACAAAGAAAGAACTCA